CACCAATGAAGGTTCACCTTAGAGTTGCCCATAAGATGGACTGAAATTATATGGCAGCGCTACGGCGTCATGTAAACAAGAGTGGAAGGCTCGAATCCAATACTCCATCCATCACATTTTGGAATACAAAAAGGTGCACTTTCAAAGCAAACAGGTTGACACTAACCAACTTGCCATTTGACGGGGCAAACATTAGCCAGAGCCCATCAGAAGGATGTGAAGGGCCTTAAAAAGCCCATTTATCCTGTTTGTTGTTGCCAAGCAGGACACGAAGGCAACAGGTCTTTTGGGACAAGATACATGGAAGATTAAAACCTTGCTTTGCCTTATCAGCCTTTTGCTCAGGCTTATCAGCCCAGGCAGCTGGATGGGACTAATAATAATAATAATAATAATAATAATAATAATAATAACTACTATCATTATTATGCATCCTGCTTTCCTTCCTTAAGTGCAACTCAACAATAACAACTATTACAATCATATTATTAAATTATTATACATCCTGCTTTTCTTTCTTAAGTGAGACTCAGGACCAAAGCAAGATATAAATATAATAATGATAATAACGACAACTACTACTACTATATATCCTGCTTTCATCTCATAAACAAGACTCAAACAATAATACTCTGTACACATAATAAAAGTGAAAATATGTGTGCATATCTGGAGACAAACTCCTGTCTCCACAAACAGCTATAGCTCCTACTACTCAGGAGACACCAATGGCCCTCCCTCCAATGACACTGCAGGTTATAGTGAGCACCATCAACATGTCCAAGACCCCCGCTAATGTCCTCCACCAACACTATACTGCCCTCCACCCATTTGGGGACCATTTCATTCTAGATTTCATGTGTTTCCTCCTCCACAGACATCCCAGTGTTTCTTACTCTCTCAATTGGTGTGGAATTTGCATGACCCCGTCCACTGCCTCTCCCATGACTCTTTCCAATTCTTTTCTATGGCACACAACAAACACAGGAATTGATCAGCAACTGAACATACTAGAGAGGTCTGGGAGGAATTCACTATGATTTATTGGAGTTGTAGGTACTGGGATGTATAGTTCACCTGCAATCAGTGAGCACTCTGAACCCCACCAATGATGGACCTGGAACTAACTTGGCACACAGATTCCCCCATGACCAACAAAAAATAATTGAGGTCTTTGGAGGGGTTGATGGGATTTGTAGTTCACCTACATCCCGAGAGCACTGTGAACCAAAACAATTTTGGATCTGGACCAAACTTGGCATGCATACCAGATATGCCCAAATTTGAATACTGGTGAGTTTTGAGGTAAATTGGCCTGGACATTTTGGACTTGTAGGTACTGGGATTTATAGTTCACCTGCAATCAAAGAGCACTCTGAACTCCACCAAAGATGAAATTGGACCCAACTTGGGAAACAAACCAGCAAAAAATACTGGAGGATCCTTCTTTTTTTTCTTAAGCAAGACTCAAAAGAGAGACGAAAAGTGCTTCAGAGACCAAAGCAGGATGTAAATATAATAATGATAATAACGACTATAATTACCGGTATATATCCTGCTCTCCTCTCTTAAACGAGACCCAAAGCAGGAAACAACGACAGCAATAATAAAGTAGATTTTTTAAACAGTTACATTGACTTTAACTTTTGCAAGCCACTCTAAGTCCCAGACCAGAAAGAGTTTGGTATATATGTGCCTCTAACACTGTGGGATTAAACCTAGGAAATTGTGGGAGTTGTAGTTTTACTAGGCCTTTGTCTTCTCTGTCCAAAAGGGCTTCACCAAACTACAGCACCCAGGCTCCTATAGCACTGAGCCACAGGAGTTAAAGTGGTGTCAAACTGAACAGTACAGACACATGTCAGGCATGTAAATAATAACTAATGATAACTCTTATTCCATGTCAATGGTAACACAAGATGATGATGATGATGATGATGATGATTAAACTAAGTAAATCCGAACAGGGTTTTTTTTTGGAGAGGTAAAGCAGCATAGAAATAATAATAATAATAATAATAATAATAATAATAATAATAATATGTGGAAGGACATGTGCAAATCACAGAGTCCCCATGACCAGCAAAAAATACCGGAGGAGTTGTAGTTCACCTACATCCAAAGAGCACTGTAAACCCAAATACCGATGGAGCCAGACCAACTTGGCATGCATACCTGATATGCCAAAATTTGATTACTGGAGGGGTTTGGGAGGAAGTAACCTTCCTTTCTGGGAGTTGTAGTTCACCCACAACCAGAGAAACTGTGACCTCCACCGATAATGGACCTGGACCAAACTTGGCACACAGAACCCCCATGACTAACTCAACCTACTGGAGAGCTTTGAGGGAACTGACTCACCATAGTGGGAGTTGTAGTTCACCCTACAGCCAGAGAGCACACTGAACCCCACCCATGATGCCTCTAGAGCAAACTTCCCCAACATAACAAACTTTAAGTACTAATGGAGTTTTTCGGGGTTAACCTGCCATGATGTGAGTTGTAGTTCACTCACAACCTTATGTAATTCATAAATTTAAAAAAATAATGACTTTTTCAAATAACCCAAGCAACGCCAGGGACCCAAGTTAGTAAATAAATGAATACAAACAGAGAGAAAAAATAACAGAGGGAAAACACAAAGACCAATAAATAACTCAGTGGGGAACAGTATATTGAAAAGCACTTGTTAAAGTGGTGTCAACATACAATCTTGGAAGGGAAAGAGTGGTGAAACTGGGGGAAAAAAGGTGGTCAACTCTCACACCTTGGCTTTCGGAAGCCATAATGATGCATGGAAGAGGTGTCTCTATGGGGAAAGGAAGAGATTCGGGGCCCATATCGGATTTGATCCGGCTGCCAAGTAGGTCAAATGACAAGGATAAAAGGCACCTACTGTTTCCCCCTTTTCAAAACCCAGAGATTGAGCCAAAGTTAAGTGAAAACATCCCAAATACGACAATTAAAGAAAAAAGACAAGAAAGGGAAAAGCCGGAAATGAATGGCTAGATTTTTTTTCTCCTTCTGAACAGGGAGGGAGCATGTGATGAAGGAAGAGGACGGAAGCAAGCAAGCCATTCAAACTATGAGAAACAATCATACAGCCCGGAAAACTCACAGCAAACTAACAATCCTTTTTACGAAAAACAAACACAGAAGCCGGTCGGTGCTTCTCTGGAGGCCTCTGGACCCCCCAAAACAGAATGGCTTTGCAACAAGTTTCTTTTGTGAGGTTTAATATATATATTATATACACATTGTCGAGGGAGAGAAGGTCCCGCTTCCTTCCCTTTCATCCTCCATTATGACAAGTATAATCCACTTTTAATGGAATCGAGACAGACAGCAATGGGGAAGTGGGAAAGATCCTTTTCGAAAGCCATTGAACTTGCAGAAAATATCCATTTCAATCTCACCAGTAAAATACAAGACAAAACTCAATCCAGAGATCTAATGTCGGCCAAAAAGATTTCCAGATAACCTCAAACCAGAAATATATAGATAGTAAAGGTAAAGGTTTCCCCTTGACATTAAGTCTAGTCGTGTCCAGCTCTGGGGGTGGTGGTGCTCATCTCAATTTCTAAGCCGAAGAGCCGGCGTCGTCCGTAGACACCTCCAAAGTCATGTAGCCAGCATGGCTGCATGGAGTGTTATTACCTTCCTGTCAGAGCAGTACCTATTGATCTACTCATATTTGCATGTTTCTGAGCTGCTAGGTTGGCAGAAGCTAGGGAGCTCACCTCGCTCCCCAGATTCAAACCGCCAACCTTGCAGTCAGCAAGTTCAGCAGCGGTTTAACCCACTGCACCACCAGGGGCTCCATATACGCATGCGTGCACACACACACATGCATATATATCACACACACTCACACACACATACAGTACAGTCTCGTTTATCCAACATAAACAGGCCGGCAGAATGTTGGATAAGTGAAAATGTTGGATAATAAGGAGGGATTAAGGAAACGCTTATTAAACGTCAAATTACGTTATGATTTTACAAATTACGCACCAAAACATCATGTTTTACAACAAATTGACAGAAAGGACAGTTCAATACACGGTAACATTATGTAGTAATTACTGTACTAATGAATTTAGCACCAAAACATTGCAATGTATTGAAAAACCTGTGGATCCGGGCGGGAGGCAGACTGTGTTGGATAATAAAGAACGCTGGATGAGCGAAGGTTGGATAAGCGAGACAATACTATACACCAACATATATGAGTCTAGTTTGGAGAGTGTTATCTGGAAATCCTTTTGGCCTACATTAGATATATATCTCACACACACATACATACATATATATATATATATACATACACATACATACACACACACAAACATGCCACAAATATATGACCCTTTTTTTGGCATATAATACTGATTATTTCTAAAGATCCGCACATTCCTACCAACTTAATTCTGAATTACGACTGTATTTTTGGAATTGCTACTATGATGGTGATTATTAGTAGTATAAGTCTGAATTACTACTATGATGATAATTATTACTATATTTCTGAATTACTACTACGATTATTTTTTTTACAAAAAAGGAAAGTTAACAGTGAATTATTACTATGAATTATTAGTAGTATAAATCTGAATTACTACTATGATGATTATTATTACTATTATTCTGAATTACTACAAAAAAGCAAAGTTAATAGTGAATTATTACTATGATGATTATTATTATTTAAATAAAAACAGACTCACAATTCTGAATTATTATTATTGGGGATTTATTATTTTCTAGGGAAAAAAACTTTTTCTGTCCAAGGAGGCCCCAATTTTTAAAAACAATGCCCTTTAAGATGGACTTTTGGACCTTACTCCTTAGGATGGACATGAATTCAGAGTCTTTAGGAAATGGGAAAAGATCTATGTCTATCTTTTGGGGGAGAAGGAACACACACACACACATAATATATATACATTTTTCCCAACCCAACTTCTATGGGGAAAAAACTTTGAAAGAGATGCACCCACCAAAGTCCACACTTGGGGAAGATCCTTTTCTCTTCTCTCTCCCCCAAAAAGGCAAGCTTCTTCTCCTTCTTTTTCTCTCTCCTTTCCTTCCTTCCTTCCTTCTTTCCTTCCTCTCTAATCCGGCCGCCCCCTCCTTTCTCCAAATGCGCCTCTTACACATGGAGTCGGCGCATGCGCACAAAGGGAGGGGGCTTTTTCCCAACCCTCCCCTTCCTCTGGCTGCCCCTCCTCCCTTAAGCCCCGCCCATTTCCACTCCAAGCCAACACTAATTCGATTTGCCTTTGCCAAAGCCTCTCTCTTCCCAAGCCTGTGCGTAAAATGCACTCCCAGAAGGCAATCAAAAGAGTTGGGAAGGTTGTTGTTGTTGTTGTTGTTTTCTTATTGATTTTTTTCCTTCTGGGGCCCAAGAAACCCAAAAGAATGGGAAAGGGGGTTTCTGATGATTTCTCTGCACCCCCCAAAAAAGAAGGAAGAGAGTGCGAATGGAGGACAAGCTTTTGCTGTGTGTAAATGATGGAGAAAACTTTTGACAGAAGAGTCCTAGAGTTGGGAAGAGACAGACCTCCAAGGGCTACACAACACAAGCCCATTCCGCCATTCTGCAACTGAGCACATCATAGAATTGGAAGAGGCATCCAGACCAACCTAAGTCGGCTATACAGGAATTAGTTGATTTAGTTGGAAGAAACCACCCAGCCCCATTCCGTCATAAAGGAATTGATCAATTGACTACAATCCTAGAGTTGGAAGAGACCCCCAAAGGCCATCTGGACCCATTCCATCATAAAGGAATTGATCAATTCACTACAACCCTAGAGTTGGAAGAGACCCCCAAAGGCCATCCGGACCCATTCCGTCATAAAGGAATTGATCAATTGACTACAATCTTAGAGTTGGAAGAGACCCCAAGGGATATCCAGACCCATTCCGTCATAAAGGAATTGATCAATTCACTACAATCTTAGAGTTGCAAGAGACCCCCAAAGGCCATCCGGTCCCATTCCATCATAAACTCACTATATCCTAGTTGGAAGAGACCCCAAAGGATAGCCAGATCCATTCCGTCCTAAAGGAATTAATCAATTCACTACAATTCTAGAGTTGGAAGAGGCCCCCAAAGCCATCTGGTCCCATTCCATCATAAAAGAATTGATCAATTCACTATATTCTAGTTGGAAGAGACCCAAAGGGATATCCAGTCCCATTCCATCATAAAGGAATCGATCAATTGACTACAATCCTAGTTGAAAGAAACCCCAAAGACCATCTGGTCCCATTCCATCATAAAGGAATCGATCAATCCACTACATCCTAGTTGGAAGAGACCCCTAAGGATATCCAGACCCATTCTGTCATAAAGGAATTGATTAATTCACTACAATCTTCTTCTCAATCCTGCTTCTCAAGCTCGGCTGGCGGGGACGAGAGATAGGGCCTTCTCGGTGGTGGCTCCTCGGCTGTGGAACGCCCTTCCTACGGACATTAGACTAGCACCATCTCTAATGGTATTCCGCAAAAAAGTGAAGACCTGGCTGTTTGAGCAGGCGTTCCAATAATTAGTGCAATGATTGGTTAATGAACACTGGAATGGAACAATGGATGACGAATCTGGAACATGTTTTTGATGACGAGACGACAGTGAATGGGTATTGTAGTAACTGTTTATTAATTGTGTAATGTGTTAGGTTGTTAACTGTTTCTATACTGTAGCACTGAATTTTTGCTGTTCGTATTTGTTGTGAACCGCTGTGAGTTGCCTTTGGGCTGAGAACAGCGGTATATAAGTAAGGTAAATAAATAAATAAATAAATAAATAAATAAATCTTAGAGTTGCAAGAGACCTCAAAAGGCCATCCGATCTCATTCCATCATAAAGGAATTGATCAATTCACTATATCCTAGTTGGAAGAGAACTCAAAGGATATACAGACCCATTCCGTCAAAAAGGAATTGATCCATTCACTACAATCCTAGTTGTAAGAGACTCCCAAAGGCCATCCGGTCCCATTCCGTCATCAAGGAATTGATCAATACACTACAATCCTAGAGTTGGAAGAGACCCCCAAAGCCCATCCAGACCCATTCCATCATAAAGGAATCCATTAATTCCCTACAATCCTAGAGTTGGGAGAGACCCCAAAGGCCATCTGGTCTCATTCCGTCATAAAGAAATTGATCAATTGACTACAATCCTAGTTGGAAGAGACTCCAAAGGATATCCAGACCCATTCTGTCATAAAGGAACTGATCAATTCACTATAATCTTAGAGTTGCAAGAGACCCCCAAAGGCCATCCAGACCAATTCCATCATAAAGGAATTGATCCATTCACTACAATCCTAGAGTTGGAAGAGATCCCCAAAGGCCATCCAGACCCATTCCATCATAAAGGAATCCACCAATTCACTACAATCCTAGAGTTGGAAGAGACCCCAAAGGCCATCCGGTCCCAACCCGTCATAAAGGAATTGATCAATTCACTATATCCTAGTTGGAAGACACCCCAAAGGATATCTGGTCCCATTACGTCCTAAAGGAATTAATCAATTCACTATATCCCTATAGTTCAGTGGCTCCCAACCTATGCTCTACTGACCACCAGTGGTTCGCGAGAACTAAAATATGGTCCGCAAACTCACTGTTGCTACTACAGATAATAACACTTATCTTGGTGTCTTTGTTTTTAGGCCTGTTCTTGGGGTTATTTGGTGCTGATTCAGAAAATTGCATTGGATAGACCACATCAGCTCCATATTATTAAATATAGTTTTCTGTGGGTGAGCAGATGGCGACTACTGGATGGCATATGTTCTGTATCAGAAACTAGAGCTGATGTGGTCTATCCAATGAATCAGCACCTCAAATAATCAAACCGAAACTAAAGTTGACCAAAAACTGACATGTTTTGTCCAAGTGGTCCCTGGTCAAAAAAAAGATTGAGAACCACTGCTATAGTTGGAAGAGACCCCAAAGGCCATCCAGACCCATTCCGTCATAAAGGAATTGATCAATTCACTACAGTCCTAGACTTGGAAGAGACCCCCAAAGGCCATCTAGTCCCATTCCATCATAAAGGAATTGATCCATTCACTACAATCCTACAGTTAGAAGAGACTCCAAAGGTCATCCAATCCCATTCCTTCTGCCATGAAGATATAATCCAAGCACTACTGACAGATGCCCATCCAGGATCTGTTTCAAAACTTCCAGGACTCCATGACACTCTGGAAAAATTCTAAAAGTTTAGGTGGAATCCCCTTTCCTGCCATTTGAATCCATTGCTCTATATATCAAAGTATCCAGACTAGAAGACAGGTCTTCCTCTTTCTCAATGGGACGGCCTTTCAAATATTTAAACATGGCTCTCATTGCAACCTTCTCTTCCCCAAGATAAGTATCCCCAGCTCCTTAAGTATACGGCTTCCAGATCTTTCATTTCAACAGGCCTTAGTTTCCCATCCAGTTCAAAGGGCCCTCTTAGAGAAGGTATACTCAGAGGTGGCTTCCTCTAAAACATGACCAAAAGCACCCAATATTTGTTGGTTGTCTCTCATCCATATACAGGTGGAACCTGGTGCCTTCAGGGCATGTGAACCCGTCACAAAGTCGCCTTGTTTCCCTTACTTTCTTCCTCCTCTTCCAAATATTGTAGTCTTTCCTTCTTAAGTCAGATCATGTCCTGCTACAAAACAGGAGCTTTTTTGTTGAGTTCCAGAGTCAGAGAAGCAGATGGCGAAACAGAAGAATGGCCTGCCTCAGGGGAGTGTGCTTGCTCCATCAATGTTCAACATTTTACACAAATGACCAGCCACTGCCAGAAGGGACAGAGAGCTTCATCTATGCTGATGATCGTGCCATTACCTCTCAGGCAGGGAGCTTTGAGATGGTTGAACAGAAGCTCTCCGAAACTTTAGGTGCTCTTACTGCCTATTATAGAAGAAACCAGCTGATTCTTAATCCCTCCCCCCGAAATTCTCATGGTGGTCCATGAGAAGGCCTTACTGGTACATTATTTAAACTGTTATGTTTATTCATATCATGATCTGATCACCATGCTCAATATATCCCATATGCATTGGGGTATTGGGGTAATGATACAAAAGGTTTGCTAGGGTAGACCCTCTTTCACTCAGACTCAGCCCCCCCCCCGAATCAAACTCAGCCCCTCCCGAATCAAAATCCTGGCTACGGGCCTGCCTGCGCCCAATATTGCTGGAGAAATTATACTGTTTAGCCGGCATTGCACCACCTGATATCCGTCAGGTAGTAGCAAGCAGTAATGAAAGGGCCAAGGCACTGACATCTTTGGCCCATCCTCTGTTCTGATATCATCCAGCAGGCCAAAGCTGTAAATCAGTGGTTCTCAACTTGTGGGTCCCCAGGTGTTTTGGCCTACAAATTCCCAGAAATCCCAGCCAGTTTACCAGCTGTTAGGATTTCTGGGAATTGAATGCCAAAACATCTGGGGACCTACAGGTTGAGAACCACTGCTGTAAATCGGCTTCCTAAGATCTACAGAGACACTCGCAGGAACACCTCAGCAAGCGAGAGTCCAAAAGTGGCAGACTGAAACCACTAAAATGCATGCCCACCTCGCAAAACAGTTTTCCGCAAATAAAGCCAGGCTCCCTCAAAGCAGGGCTAACAAATTATGCTAATTCTATTGTGCTCCTGCCACAAATCATTGCCTACAAATGTTTGTTGTTCTGATTTCAGAACAAAAATGGTGCCCATCAAACACCTTAGTGGAGCGCTAATTTGAAGAAGACGGCAGAGAAAGGTTTTCCCTTTAGGTTACGGCGAAGGATGGCAAGGACAAAAATAGCATGGATTACATCACCTGCTTTCCTGAATATTAATGTGTCCAAGCACACAGAGGCAGGCCCCACCGACGGAAAGGGCAATTCCTGTTCCAAGAAAAGACACGTATGGCAATCTGGTGGGAAGGATCTCTGAAAGGCCAAATGCATCTCCAGCATCTCCCAAAGTGGCTGAAATGTGGTGAAAACGCCAAAAGAGGATGGAGGAAGATTTAGATATTTATCTTCCTTTCAATGAAATGTTACCCTTAAGCAAACTCATGGCTTTTGGGGGGAGTAATTTGGTCCTTTCCAGATGCTTTACGGTCCAACTCCCATCATCCCCAGACTTGTTAACAGATTATGAGAAATCTAGTCTCAA